CCTCGTAATCCAAAATCGTGTAAATCTTTTAAAATCCCATGTTTCCATGTCGTGTCGTATGCTTTTTCTAAATCGAAAAAGATCGACACTGCATGCTGTTTATTAATTATGGCATTTTTTACAAAAGACTCTAAACGTACTAAATGATCGATGGTACTACGTTTTTTACGGAAACCACATTGTATATTAGTTATAAGGTTATTTGTTTCCAAGTACCAAACAAGTCTATTGTTGATCATACGTTCCATGGTTTGCAAACGCAGCTAGTCAGTGAAATTGGTCTATAATTAGAGGGATCAGTATGATCACGTCCAGGTTTAGGGATGGGCACAATTATAGCATCACGCCACGACGAAGGGAAATTTCCAGTTGTCCAAATGTCATCAAAAATATGTAACAGTGTCTCCAAACATGACTCTGGCAAGTGCTTCAGGAGTTGATAATGTATGTTATCAGCTCCAGAAGCAATATCGTGAGCCTGATCAAGAGCAGTATGAAGCTCATGTATCGAAAAGGTTTCACTGTAGTCTTCCCCATTATCTGAATTGAAATTAATAGCTTTCTTTTCTTGCTGTTTTTGAAATTTTTGGAATTCAGGTACATAATTTGCTGAGGAAGAATGTTTGGCCAACGTCTCACCAAGTTTATTTGCAATATCTGATTTACTAGTCAATAACTGAGTCCCATCTTTGAGATGGTGAATGCTACATTAAGAGGCTTTACCCTTGATTTTCTGGATCATATTCCACACCTTTGATATAGGTGTGCGCGAATTGATTTTTGAGACATAGTTTCGCCAAGAGTGGCGTTTATTTTGCTTGAAAGAACGTCGTGCTTTAGCGTTTAAAATTTTAAGTTTGTCCAAATTGTGGACCATAGGATGACGACGGAAATAGTGCTCGGCTTTCTTCCGTGCCTTCCTAGCTTGTTTGCAATCATTGTTAAACCATGGTTTTCGTATGTGTGGGTTTGTAGAGGACTTAGGAATACATTCATCGGCAAATTTATTCAGTTCATCAGAGAATAGTTGAACAGGGTCAGCAACATCTATAAACAGTTCCGGTTTTAGGTTGGTTGATGCAAGTATTTCAAATAAAGGCCAGTTGGCCTTAGTAAAGTTCCATCTAGACATTGGAGGAACATCAGATGGAGTTATGGCTTGTAGAATGGTCGGAAAATGGTCACTTCCACACAGGTCGTCATGGACTGACCATTCAAACTCATTCAGCAGGGTAGAGTCGGTAATGGATAAATCAAGGAAGAATATGTTCCTGTACCAGGATGTAAATAGGTGTGGGAATTATCATTAAAGATACATACATTGTTATTAGAAATAAAGTCTTCCAGCAGTTTCCCTTTTGTGTTGGTATGTGTACCTCCCCAGAGAGGGTTGTGGCCATTCAAATCACCCATGATGATACAGGGCTTGGGAAGTTGGTCATAGAGTGCCTGGAGATCAACAAGCTGTACAGAGGAGGAAGGGGGAATATAGAGAGAGCACAAAGTAAAAACAATGTGCATGGTCACACGAACAGCAACAGCCTGAAGTGTTGTATTCAGAGTAACAGGACTGTGTATTACACCCTGCCTGATTAATATGGAAGATCCTCCAGTGGCTTTTGGCCCCGTAGGAGAAAAGAAGTTGTATGAAGAATATTGTCTTATATCAATTTGATCTGTTTCCTTGAAAAACGTTTCTTGTAGACAAAATGCCGACGGTTTAAAATCTTGTATAAGTAACTGTATATCATTAAAATTATTTTTTAGTCCTCTACAATTCCACTGAATAATGTTATTAGAGCTGCTCATGGAGGTGAAATTGGAGATCGTGACCGGGAGGGAGGTTTATTCCCATGGATGGGGAGGGACGGACTCACGTCCATCTCCAGAGGATCAAATGTATTATGAACCTCTATCTGAGTTGTTGTAGGAGAAGCGATCTCTAAATTTTTGTGCGCCCTCGCCTTTTTTGCTTGCTTTTTTTCTTTACTTGTTAAATGAGTTTTACCGTCTGCGTGAGGGTCATTCTCATTTCTTTGCTGTTGTTCACGAGTATTATCCTGTATGGGTTGAGAGTCTGTCTGAGACGAAGATGTTACTTTCCTCTGAACCGGCTCACTCTGGCATACCTGAGTGAGTTCACTAACCTGAATATGGTCTGTTTTGAGCCAAGAAATAACTGTTTGGCAGGAAACTGATACAAGAGGAACTCTAGTCACAAGAGCAGGCGAGGAAATCGCAGCTGAATAGGTTTTTGTAGACAGGTTCTGGCCAATAGATGGTACCAACTTTTTAGCTTCTTCATAAGTGATGTTATTCGTGTGTTTTATCTTCAGGATACTGGTCTCACGGAGGAAAATTGGACATGATTTTGAGGAAGCCATGTGCTGTCCGCCGCAGTTGACACAGAGCAGGATGGGAGAGGTAGCTTTACCAATTACTTGCAAAGTATATATGCCCACATATACATCACATTTTCTTATCGTATTTCATCATGGCTGAGAAAGGTACAAAGTTAGATGGTAGGAGACCAGGTGGAGAATTGTTGCTGGATGGATATAGGTATCTGAGACGAACTGCCAACAGGAATGGTACCATTATATGGAGATGTCAGTGCCGGAAAACAGCCTCAGTCACTACAACAGCAGATGGGACTGTTGTCAGAAGCTCGGACAAACAGCACACACATCCAGGCCAAAGCTCTATTGGTTCCTATATCCTAACTAGTAATGTCCAAAAGCGGGCACGAGAAGAGCTAACAAGTGTACCAAAGTTCACTGTCAAAAATTGGGATAACTGGCTAGATCAATTACAGAAGTGAGAAATTTCACTGTCAAATTTAGGACTGTCAAAATTGGGACTAAACCTATGTGGATATTGATGGATACATTCCTCGAACAAGGTAATAGCCTGACATTGTTGCAGGGTTTAGTCTGTTTTATTTCTAATAGTTGCATTTTGTTTTTATTCATTTGTGGTAGCATTCAACAGAATCATTTTTTTCGCCGTGTAGCGTAATGAGACAGACAACATACATCTAGGGCGTGTGTGGAATATGATTCATGTTGGCATTCTGTCAAATGTCTAGATATTACAGTGATGTTATAAATATACTATAAGTATAAGCAGATCGTATGCTTTTTATTAAGTTTCAAAATGCATACAAATATGACAATAAAATAATTAGGATTATAAGACAAAATATAAAGACATACATTTACTTCGTTATTTTTCGGTCCTGACGTTTTTTACCACTGGCAGATGATTAAACTTCAAAATGTTTTCATTTGTTATAATAAAAATGAAGATGGAAATATTATCGAGTAAAAAACATTTCATTTTTGTTGACTAATCTATACCTATACTATCAATTGCGCATATTGGTGGCGCAGCAAAGGTCACGAACCAGTCGAAAATACTGGGATATCATCCGGGTACTCAGGGGAGAAAAACAATAACAAAAGCAACAACCAGTGCGCGGAAATTGCTCTGGATCAGTGCCCTTTTAGATGTGTTCATCATATGATTGTTTTAATCATAATTTTACACGGTCGGCTTCCGTGTGCGATGTGTTCACTTCCATCATCCACCAGCTTGTCATAACACGTCACATGAGATTAGCCATGTGCTAAAATAACACCCAAACTTCAAAGCGTACCCCTTGTCAACGTCCTGAGCCTTATAAAAATCGAAAGGTCGGCTTCCTGAGTCGACACATTCTCAAACTATTGTCATGTAAGTGGTAATAATTCCTGAGCATTAGAGAACAGATTGGCTTGCTTATTTTGGAATTTAATGCTTTTCATAAACTAGAATCTCATGAACTATTTCTCTCTGGAATCATCTGTGATATGAACTTGTGTAGTGATTTCTCTAGAAATTATTTAACGTGATCTAAAATGAATAATGCATTAAACATTTAGTCGCCTTTCATTGTAAATGACCAAATTAATTAGTTACACTATGAAGTTTTTTAAGAAGGGATTCATTTGGGTTGTTTTTGTCTCAGTCCGCCCGTGTGGACAACATAGCCAATTATCTATTAACAAGTTCATGATATTTCGTGAATACACCAACTGCATAACACCGTCTCTGACCACAAACCCAAACGGGTTGTTCTCTATTCGCCTACAGTCTTAAAACAACATTTCATGGTCTGTTGACCGTTGATTACGCAGTGATAAACCACCCAAACGGTCCATCCCTTGTGACGGGTGTTAATTAGAGGGTACCAATTAGAGAATGTATTCTACTATAATAAACCTATTATTCCCTGGCAGGGGTTCACTTTTAAGACATGTAATAAACCCTGTCCAGTCAGTCAGTGGGTCCGGTAAACTTATATTTAATCCATGATGTAACGTAGGTCTATATAATTTGTGTTTATGCAAACCGAGACAGGTCAAAAACTATTTGCGCTTCTGTGGATAAAAAGTAAAACATACACTTAAAACGGTATTTTGGAAAATGCTAGCCATACCAAAGGGCAAATAAAACAGTCGATATCATTTTTTGACACTTAAAACAAGGATGCAGATGAATGAAGTTATACCAGGGATAATCTTATCTTATAGTCTCCCTGGTTATACTAATATATACAATTGGTTCCTAGTTGATCGCATAGAAGGACGAATACACTCCTAGGAGGACGAATACACAGTCTATACACTCATGGAGAGCCTTGGGAAAAGGAGAAACTGAAAGAAGTAGTGGTAAAATCCTTCCTAAATTTCCAAAAATTTCCAACCCTTGGAAATTTTTGGAAATCACCATTTTTTTTCTTGTGTAAATTCTATATGTCTCCAAGTTCTTGTTAAGAGCCGAACCAGCCTTACATTATATTTGGTAGACAAATATAGCTATTTATGTCGTATTTACTGGCGTATATCACCCCTGTATCCCTGGTGTTTGCATGCTGGATATCCGATGCAATTAAACACTGTACTTGTTGACACTCGGTGGCGGGTGGGGAGCAGGTTGACGAACCTTTTACTTCCATCATGAATCCAACAAATTCTGGTTCCGCTAGGAATGATAAAAAAAGGCGTCTGGAGACGGAAGATATTTCAGCTCCAAATCCGCAAGACAATTGGGCACGTTTTGTAGTCATCGAGGCTACAAATGGTGAACCCCTCAAACTGAATCCATTTTTGATTTCAAAGACCATCCAATCGATTTGTGGAGAGGTCAAGAACGTTTCATGTCTTCAGGGTGGTCAACTCCTTGTTGAGTGTGCAAGAAAACAACAGTCCATCAACCTTTTACAGCAACATCACCTTGCAAATGTCAGTGTTGGTGTCACAGCACCTAAAACGCTCAACTCTAGTAGAGGAATCGTGCGAGACAGAGCCCGTTGCTTGGCGGACATGTCAATGGACGAAATAGTGGAAGAACTTCAAGATCAAAATGTCACTTCTGTAAAGCGCTTCACTGTCAAGAAGTATGATGGCAGTACTGTTCCAAGCAACACCTACCTGTTTACTTTTTCGATGAGTACTGTGCCCAAATCAATAAAAGCCGGCTTTTTCAATATCCGAGTGGAGGTGTACATCCCCTCTCCACTCAGGTGTTATTCATGTCAGAAGTTTGGACATGGTTCCAAATCATGCCGTAATGCTCATCGTTGTCATCGATGCAGCGAAGATCATCTGGATTCTGATTGCTCTAAAGATCCCAAATATGTAAACTGTGGTGGCGACCATGTTTCCTCTTCAAAATCTTGTCCTGAGTGGCAAATTCAATCCAAAATTCTGAAGTTCAAATATGAAAATAATGTCTCTTTGCTTGAGGCCAAGAAACAAGTTTCCCATCAGTTGAATTCAAACCTTCTCCGACTGTTAGCTATTCAGCTGCTGTATCGAGAAAACCTCATTCAGTGTCAGTTTCCTGCCAAACTGATTTGACTTGGATGGAATCTAAAAAAACACATTCTGTGCAAACTGCTTCTGTCAGCCAGTCCACTATGACATCTGTTTCTCAGACTATAAGTCAATCGCAACAATCAACTGTAGATGTTGACCAAAATGCTGATAAGTAAAAAAATAACCGACAACGCCTTAACCGGAAACAATCATCTAAACCTCCCTCTCATGTTGAGTGGGATACAACTGTACAGGTTCATAACTACTTTGAACCCCTGGAGATGGAAGTGACCCAGTCTTCAGAAAACAAACCAAGGAGTCCTTCATCACGTTCGCGTGAAAGATCACCAATAGAACCTCCATGAGCCGATATCCGAATCTAATACAGTGGAATTGCAGAGGACTTAGGACCAATTGTAATGAATTACAATTACTAACACAAGATTTTAAACCATCAGCCTTCAGTTTACAGGAAACATTTTTGAAACAAAATGATCAGTTCGAATTACGTCAATATCATTCTTATCATTCTTTTTCACAGCCAGGCGACAGAGCCACTGGTGGATCTTCCATTTTGGTGAGACAGGGAATTATCCATAGGCCTGTTCCTCTTAAAACCAATTTCCAGGCCGTTGCTGTTCGTCTTACTTTACACATAACTATTACTCTCTGTTCCTTGTATATCTCTCCATCTTCCACTCTTCAACAGTCCGAGCTTCAAGATTTATTTGACCAACTACCCAAACCCTGTATCATAATGGGTGATCTCAATGGACACAACCCACTGTGGGGAAGTACTGCTACCAACAATAAAGGCAAAATTTTCTCTCTAATAATGATTTATGCATATTCAACGACGGCTCTAACACATATTTACATCCTGCAACGGGAACATATTCTTCTTTAGACTTGTCAATCACTGATTCAAACCTTTATAACGAATTTGAATGGTCAGTCCATAATGATCTTTGTGGGAGTGACCATTTTCCCACAGTACTTACAGCAATTAACCCTACTGATGATCCGCCTTTAACAAGATGGAATTTTTCAAAGGCCAATTGGCCCTTATTTCAGACCATCTGCCTCGAAAAGCTGAAATCAGACCTTTTCATGGATGTTACTGATCCAATTCAAACGTTCCCGGATAAACTCAAACATATAGCTGATGAAACTATTCCTAAGTCGTCTGTAAACCCACACATACGTAAACCATGGTTTAATGACGAATGCAAACAGGCTAGGAAATGTAGGAAGAAGGCAGAGAAATATTTTCGCCATCATCCTACTGTACATAACTTAAATAATGTAAAAATCAGTTATGCTAAGGCACGACGAACGTTTAAGCACATTAAGCGTCATACTTGGAAAAATTCCGTTTTCAAAATAAATTCCCGTACTCCTATGTAAAGGGTATGGAATATGATCCAAAAAATCAAAGGCAAGGGTTCCAAATCGAGTAGTATTCAGCATCTCAAAGATGATAATGACATACTAACTGAAAATTCTGATATTGCGAACAAGTTGGGCGAAACGTTGGCTAAACATTCGTCCTCCTCAAACTATAATCAAAAATTTCAGACTTATCAAACACAACAAGAAAAGAAAAAAGTGAATTTTAAATCTGATAATGGTGAAGATTATAATGAGGTATTTTCATTACATGAACTTCACACTGCTTTATCTCAAGCTCATGATACTGCAACAGGACCTGATGATATCCATTATCAGCTCTTAAAACACTTGCCTGAATCTTGTCTCGAAAGTTTACTTAACATTTTTGACCATATTTGGATAACGGGACATTTTCCTCCTTCGTGGCGAAACGCCATAGTTATTCCTATCCCAAAGCCTGGCTGGGATCATACAGATCCGTCTAATTATCGGCCTATTTCCTTAACTAGCTGTGTTTGTAAAACCATGGAGCGAATGGTCAATAATCGCTTAGTTTGGTTTTTAGAAACCAACAATCTAATTAGTGATATACAATGTGGTTTCCGTAGAAACCGAAGTACGATTGACCACTTGGTTCGTTTGGAATCATTTGTTAAAAATTCTTTTATAAAAAAAAAACAAGATGCTGTATCCATCTTTTTTTACCTTGAAAAAGCTTATGATACCACTTGGAAGCATGGTATTTTAAAAGACTTACATGTTTTTGGGTTGCGAGGTCGCTTGCCTCAATTTATATCTAATTTTTTAACCGACAGACAGTTTCAAGTCCGTGTGGGATCAACCTTGTCAGACTACTTTAATCAAGACCAGGGTGTTCCACAGGGCAGTATTTTGTCTGACTTTATTATTTTCAAAAGTTTAAAATCAATAGCCTTTCAAAATGTTTTTGTAGAGGTAGTGATTCAGTTGATGGATCACTTGTTTGTGGAAAAATGATTTTAATGTTTCTTGTAGAAACAGGTAGAAAATATGCATACAATATCTGAGGCAATTACAAATTTGTCTCAATAAAATTGAAAAATGGTCACTTGAAAAACGGGTTTAAATTTTTTCTATAACAAAAACAAATTGTATGCATTTCTGCAGAAAGTGTAAACCGCATAAAGATCCAGAATTATTTTTAAACGGCACCCCCATCAAAGTAGTAAAGGAGGCCAAGTTCTTGGGTCTTATTTTCGACTCACATTTGACTTTTCTGCCACACATTAAATCACTTAAAACTAAATGCCTGAAGGCACGTGATCTGTTGAAAGTCGTTTCAAATTCTAAGTGGGGAGGGGACCAAACTACCCTACTACACATGTACAGATCTTTCATCCGTTCGAAACTTGATTACGGCTCCAACGTATATGGCGGAGCCTGTAAAAGCAACCTCAAAATCCTTGATTCTATTCATCACCAAGGTCTTCGACTTTGTCTTGGGTCTTTTAGAACTTCTCCTATTGATAGTATCTACGTTGAGGCTGATGAGCCATCTCTTAGCAAACGACGTAAAAAACTCTCCTTACAGTATATAACAAAACTTTATTCTAACGAGTCTAACCCTGCATTCAACTGTGTCTTTAATCCTCTTTATGAGGATTTGTACAACAAAAAGCCTTCTCTTGTTCCACCTCTTGGTTTAAGAATTAAACCATTCATTTCTGCTGCTGGCATTGAGCTGGAAAATATAGCTCCTTTCCGTCTTCTTTCTTCTCCTCCTTGGCATTTGGTTAGGCCACAAGTTGACCTAACATTAACAGCATTTAAAAAAAGCAGAAACTAATGAATTACAATATAAACAAGAATATAATCAATTCAAAAGTAAATATAATACATATAAATCCTTATTTACAGATGGGTCCAAGGATGGTGGCGCGGTGGCTTGTGCCACTGTCATTGGATCCAGAACAATATCTTCTCGTTTACCAGATAACAGCTCTATTTTTACAGCAGAAGCAAACGCCATATTAACAGCCTTAAAATATATTAAAAAACACCCTAATATAAACAATATATCATCTTTTCTGACTCACTTTCTTGCCTTCAGGCTATTAAAAATATTTCTTGTAAACATCCACTTTTATTAGAAATTATTGAATTTTATAATGAGCTTGCTACAGGCCAATGCGACATCGTCTTTTGTTGGTTACCCAGCCACGTTGGCATTTCTGGGAATACAATGGCCTATCTTGCTGCCAAGGCAGCACTCAACAAATCTGTGACACCACTTCTAATTCCATACTCTGATTACAAAGCTAGCATTAGAACTTCCATCCGTGATCTGATGCAGAAGAAGTGGGACACCCAAGTGGGTATCAATAAATTACATGAAATACAACCCTATTTCGCTTACACTTACATGGGTTGTCAGTCTAGATTGGCAGAGGTCATCATGCCACGATGTCGCATTGGCCACACTAGATATACTCATGCATACCTATTGAAAGGTGAGGATCCTCCGTTTTGTATCCCTTGTGATGAGAGAACCACGGTCAAGCATGTCCTGCTTGACTGTGTTGAATTCTCCATCATAAGGGATAAATACTTCAATGTATAAACAGTTAAGGATCTTTTTAACACTGTTAATTTTCAGTTAATTCTTGGCTTTTTAAAAAAATTGATTTAATGAATGAATTTTGAATAACATGTTCTGTGCATATATGTATTTTAATTATTGGTTGTTTTGATTAGTAACTTCAATTGTTAGTGGTTGTACCCTCAAAGGGGGTTGAAGTAGCGTAAAATTATTGTCCTCCTGAGATGGTAAGTAAGTCCCAAAGTAGACTTTTCACGTATCAAGTTTTTAAACGTAGTATTTTTGTTCATTTTAATTTCGGCTGACTTGTCCTACAATCGCCAACAGATGAAGGGATGGTTTAAATCCAGCTAGGGTCCATGCAGGTAGCAAAAGTAATGTAAGTCCCCATGGTTCCTAGTATGGTGATCTACGTTCAGTTGTTTTTATATTGTATTGTCTTCGTAAATAAAATAGTTTTACATGTTCATGCTAGTTTTAGACTCCATCTGTGATACTCTAGTTATTTTACAGTCCTTCGATGACTGATTATTTAGCAACATAAATTTATTGTTTATGTAAAACATGTCTCGTCACTATATGGCTGAAATATTGCCGAGGTGACGTTAAATTTTAACTCACTCGCACTCAACCCCCCGTTGTGGACTCGGGGGGATATTTGGTCCACCAACCCGTTCGCCGTGGGTTGCGCCCCTGTGTGGGTGGAGGAAGGGAGTCTGGTGGTTGAGGACACTGGTTCCAGGAACAGTGTTCCTTTGCTCAACACACCACTTCGCCCCTTACTTCACCTAGACGGGCGGTTGAATGGGCCCGGTTCAATCAAACGGCTGGTCATGCCAAGCCCTGAGTATCATTTTGTATGTCCAAATATATATTTCAGAATTGTTGTTTCATTTTAGGTCTTGGCCCAGTTTGTGTATCAAGCTGAACTTGATTTCAAAAGTTTTTGATTTCTAAACTGCCTAGAGTTTATGCCCAGAAGACTATGGCTCAAGGGCCAATCTGGTGGTACATTCTCTGTGATGCTACTGCTTGAGTATACCCTCTTGGTATCCTTGGTGCCGCCAGTTGG